CTGGCCTTGAGAAGCAAGCAGCCATATTGAGGATGGCAAAATGGCAAGGAACTATTTTCAGTCTCTAGGATTTGAGGTTGTCCCCTGGCCAACAGCCAACAAAAAGCTGCCTCCCTGGAACAGCTATAAGGAAATGAATCCTGCAACAGGTTCTAAATGAGCCTGGAAGCCGAATCTTCCCGAGCTTCCGGATGAGAACATAGCCTGGCCTACGACACTCACCGCAGCTTTGTGAGACCTAAGAAGAGAACCTGTTAAGTGGGGCCTGGATTCCTGACCCACATGAACTATGAGACGATAAGTGTGTGCTGTTTTAGGCTGCTAATTTGTAGGATTTGTTAGATACATAATAAAAAACTAAAGCAGGTATACCTTAAAATATTCCATATTTTATTATGGAAAAGTTCAAACTTATACAAATGCAAAGTGAACAATATAATCAATCCTTAAGTACTCATCATTTAGTATCAACACATAGCCAATCTTGTTTCATATGTACTACTACTGATTACCCTTTCCCCAAATGCATTATTTCAAAGCAAATCCCAGACATTATATTATTTTAATCTGTAAATGCCTCAGTTTGTATCTCTAAAAGATATTGCCTCATTTTTCTTAAAAATGAAACCACAACATCATTATCACATCTACAAAAATTCCTTAACATCATCAAACATCCAGTTTGTGTACAAATTTATCAAAAACAAATCATAGTTGGTTTTTTTTTTTAACATTTATTTTATTGATCCAGGAACCAAAGTCCACATTTAGTTGATATGTGTAAGTCTCTTTTAATCTATGAGTTCTCCTTAACTTTTTCCCTGTTGCAATTTATTGGTTGAAGAAATTGGATTGTCTTGTAGATTTTCTCATATTCTGGATTTTGCTGATTGCATTGCTGTGGTATCATTTAATTGGTCACTGATCTCTCTATTTCCTGCAAACTGGTAGTTAGATATAAAGGCTTGGTCATATTCAGGTTTGATGTTTTGGGCAAGTATACTTCAGATGTGTGCTGTATACTACTCATTGTGTAACAGTAGGAAACATAACTAATGATTGATCATCTCCCTTATTGTGACCTTAGGAATAATCAATGGGTTTAGGTGTTTTGAGCCCCTTTCATCTGTTATGAAGTTCCTCACAGCTTTTCACCTAATTTTTTCAGTCATTGATGATGACTGCTTAGATACATTATTTCATCAGGGATTATAAAATAGTGAAATTTATCACCTCTTCTTTGTTTATTAGCTGGAATACTTCTATAAAGACCAAAAAAACATTTTCTCTATCAACTACTTGTTTTCTTTGAGGTACAGTTCATATAGGAAAGTCAGAATAAATGGTTGAGTCTTTTATTTATTGGTTTTTGGAGTATTGAGGTGGATCCTTAGTATCTTCCAGATTGACTGATGAGGGATTATTTTGTCTTTGATAGTATCTAGGAACTCATGGAATTTAACATATTTGATGCGTTACAATCCACTGCAGTTATTATTCTTTTCGATGTTCAAGTTACTCCATTACTGACCAGTGTTAGCCTCTTTAAGTTGGCTCCTGAAGTCTTTTGCCATGAGCACAGTGAACTTTGATAGCTTCCTTGTTTCTGGCATGACAGAATGTTTCTGGCTTCTATGTTTCCTGCCTGATATCTGCAATCAGGCCCGGTTCCTTTTAGTGTAAAATGGTATTTAGAGACTATATCTAGATGCTAAGGGGGCACACTGCTTGTGGGTTGCTCATTATTTCTAAAGTTTTTCAGTAGATAGGCTAGGAAATACTTTTTTTTTTTAAGAGAAAATATATCATGTAATATATTTTTGATGAAAAAATTTTTGGGGTGCCTGGCTGGCTCAGTCAGTGGAGCATGTAACTCTTGATCTCAGGGGGTCATGAATTTGAGCCCCACATTGGGTGTAGAGATTACTTAAAAATAAAATCTTTAAAAAAAAGAAAAAATTTCAATATTTAATTTTCATTTTAAAATTTCACAATATGATTTTCTCTTAAAAAATATTTAATTTTCAATTAAAATTTAGGATTATAAGGTTTTACTTAATTCTTTGACCTTATATTTGCAACTCTTGCTGAAAATCTTGATTCCTAATGACATTAACTTTCTTACTCAAAGTAATATATCTATATAAACCAACTTTAGAATAGCAACACCAATGTTATCACTAACAATGTGACACTTGAAAATAAATACTTTAAGATTTATTTTTAGTTCTTTTGTCATTAGGGTATAATCTCACTAGGAATATACAATCAGATATTGTGTTTTAAAGTCACTTGGAAGAAATTTTCACTGTCTTTCAAGTCATCAACTCGATACACAATTAGGTTCTTGTTTTTTTTTCTTTTGAGTTTTAGGGATTACTTTTTAAAATTAAAAAAATTATTATGGTAAGATATACATAACAAATTTTATAATTATAATGATTTTTAACTTAATAGTTCAGTGGCATTAAGTATATTCACAATGTTGGGCAATTATCACCACCACCATCTCCAGAACATCTTCCCAAACTGAAACTCTATACCATTAAACACTAATTCCTCCTCATCCCTTTTCCCCAGGCTCTGGCAACAACCCTTCTACTTTTTGTCTTTATAACTCTGACTACTTAGGTATTTCATATACGTGGAATCACACAGTATTTGTCCTCTTCTGACTGTCTTATTTTAATCTATTATCTTATTTTAATCTTATTTAATCAGTCTCATACAGTGAGACCGCAAATAGCACTTTGAGTCTTTGGTATGTCTGAGGACTTGAGGGGAAGAGCAGATGCTCACCTCTGGTGGACAGAGAGAGATGGGATTCCATGATATTTTCTAAATAAGTGTTTTTCATTTTGCCCTCTTCCTCCTCCCTTCAAAATCCATTCAACAATGATGAAACAATCCCAACTGAATGTCATGGTACTACCTTTCAAACCCTTATTTTATTTTTTTCTTTTTCCAAACCCTTATGGTTGTTAGAGGACATTTCAAAGTCTCAAGAAGGAATTCTTGCAATTTTTTAAATATTTAATTTTATAATTTTATATAATTTTATTTTTTATTTTATAATTATGTAAAATATTTACATGGTTCCAAAGTCAAATCTGCAAAACAAGTTTCATTCAGAGAGGCCTAGTTTCTATTCCTGTCCCCTATCCCGATATAGGCAACCATTAAAATGTTTTTGGTTTATCCTTTTCTTGCTCCCACCCCCCCCTTGTTTTTTACTATAAGTGAACAAATATGTGTATTTGTATTTATTCCCTCTTTCTTAAATGGTTACAAGTAAGAATGGTAAACAATAGTATACCATACATACTTTATCTATCTTGCTTTATTCTCTTATCTGTATATCAAGAATATCATTCTTTATCATTATGTAAAGATAGAAGTTCTCCGTTCTCACTCATCTTTTAAGCTCTTATCTCCTAATTCCATACTGTTTTGTCAGCTGTAATACAATGTTTAGGAGTATAGTTGAAGGTTACATACCATATACTTTCCTAATACTTGTTGAAAATCTGCAGCAACTGCATTTGAAGGAGAAAAATGTTCTTGCGATATCAGAGGATTTCTCAGAAAAGTATCACTAACCTGGGGACATTAATGGAAATATTTAACCTATTTAGATAATTTCAACTGGAGAATTACAGAGTTCATTTGAAGCAAAGTCTGGCAGAAATGTGAAATAAAAGAATATTCTATTTCCACACTATTTCTAGCTTTTTGGTGGCAGGGTGTCCTTTCCAATCAAAGATGCAGTATGTAGGACAACTGTGCTTGCCCATTCTTCTCCACTGCTGTAGTACAGATCACAGTCTCATACAGTGAGACCGCAAATAGCACTTTGAGTCTTTGGTATGTCTGAGGACTTGAGGGGAAGAGCAGATGCTCACCTCTGGTGGACAGAGAGAGATGGGATTCCATGATATTTTCTAAATAAGTGTTTTTCATTTTGCCCTCTTCCTCCTCCCTTCAAAATCCATTCAACAATGATGAAACAATCCCAAACTGAATGTCATGGTACTACCTTTCAAACCCTTATTTTATTTTTTTCTTTTTCCAAACCCTTATGGTTGTTAGAGGACATTTCAAAGTCTCAAGAAGGAATTCTTGCAATTGTTTGTACTCAATATTGTATTCCCCAGAAATAGTGGTAAAATGTATGTAGTTAGCAATTTGGTATCTGGTTTTGGAAAGGTGGTAAAGTTTGGATGTTTTGTCATAGTAGCAGAGAGGGAGAAAAATTAGAGTATAGTCACTTAAATTGCTAACAGTGTTTAGCGTCTAGACTCTAGCACTTATCAAGGTGTATCTGAAGAGTGAATTTCAATATTAGTCCTTATAATCCTTGATTCTATATGTGGTTACAGTTTGAGTTGTGTTAAGTAAGACAGTACACTAACAAATATATGCATGATTCATGATATGACTGAAAATAACTGTTAGTCACTATAGTATTGCTGACTGATTTTTCCATTAATATTTTTTACTTATTTATTTATTTATTTATTTTAGAAAAGATCTATTTACTTATTTTAGAGAGAGCATGCACAAATGGGGGGGGAGGGGCAGAGAGAGAATCCCAAGAAGACTCCCCACTGAGCAAGGGAGCCTGAGGCGGGGCTTGATCCCATGACCCTGAGATCATGACCTGAGCCAAAATCAAGAATTGGATGCTTAACTGACTGAGCCACCCAGGCACCCCTATTTGTAAATTAAATACACATGCTATTGAAATGGTATACTAAATATTAGTAAAGTTTAATTTCTCTTTTATTTTTAAAGAACAAGATAAATACTGAGAGAGAGTCTAATAGATCTGTGTGGGTAGTCTTTGCAGACCTTGCTTTAGGGTCTGGAGAAGTGTGGAAACAGGGCAGATGAAGGATAGGGGTAAGAAATCTCTGAAGGTCAAAAAAAAAAAGAAATCTCTGAAGGTCATTAAGGCTCTGTTTTATAGACAAATGAGTGATCTGCTTTCAGTTAGTGACACAACTACGAACACACTATAAAATAGAGACCTCATAATTTCAATAAGTGAAAAGGTCCTTCAAGTAATGTAAGAAATTACTTACATTTTTAAGAAATGCAGATGGTGTTATGGTATCCAAGGCATTGTCTGTGGCACATAGGTAAGTGATTCCATCAATAAAGAGAGTATGGTAGACAAAGCTTTGAAAAGAATACATTCATTTACATGATAACATTGAAGAAATTAAGTACCCTCACAGAGAATCTTTTTTTTTCAAGCTCTCAGTAGTAGTATACAAGCTGTATAGATAACTTTTTATAATGAGAATTAGAAATCTTTCATATATGTGAAAAATTAAATTATGTTAAATAAAGACTATAAAATTAGAATATGTATTTAAAATTTCATCAATAAAAATGAAATACAATAAAGAGAAAACTCTATCCATCTATTTATCTATCTATATTTAAAATGGCTTTGATAGGGGCACCTGGGTGGCTCAGTCAGTTCAGTGTCTGCCTCCAGCTCTGGTCATGATCCCGGGGCCCTGGGTTTGAGCCCCACGATGGGTTCCCTGCTTGGCAGGGAGTCTGCTTCTCCCTCTGCCCCAGCCCCCCACTGTGCTCTCTCTCTAATAAATAAATAAAATCTTTAAAAAATGGCTTTGGTAGATAATTACTCATTCCAAGACTGAATAAAGATTCTCATCAAATAGAAAATGCTGTTCACTGATTTTTACTATCCTTATATCTTTAGGTAGACATATTTAATTTTGGTACTTCTTGGCTTTCTAGTATGATAGATTAGAATTTAAAAGTTGTAAACTGCCAATACTAAATATTCTGAGGAACAGGATGAACTGCGGAGGGGGAAATTAAACTCCCCTATAGTATGTGAAAGTGTATCTTAGCTGACCTTTTGTGCCTTCTCAGAGTCACATGTTAGGAAGCTAGAAGATTCTTGGAAAGTGCCTCCATCTTTACTGCACAACAATCCAGAAAATTTAAAAATATGGCAAAAAAAAAAAATAGTTGCTTGTTGCCTAGACTTTGAATCTAGTCATTCTGAACACTTTATATCCAAATGGTTAGCAGGCAATAGACCTGGTCAAATGCTAAATTGGATATACACAAAAATGACAAATCTCAGAAACAGGGAGAAAAGATAATCCCAGAGGCAGAAAATTTAAAGTATGTGCCCGCCCTTTCCATGTAAATCCTTCATATCATATGAATACAATATGCTACAAATATTTTTAATGATGATATTGATACACATAATCTCTACTTGAAAATATTTTTATTTTGGGAGGAGTCTTTGTTGAAAAAGAGTTGCTAATTCTATCATGTCTCTGAAAGGTATATATGTGATTTGAAGTAAATTGATATTGGATGTGAGGAAAGAAATATTTTAAATTTATGCTTAGTATGTTATTAGTGAGTAACATTCAGAAACCATCTTTAAAAGTTAAAAAACTTGAATACCCAATGTCCAGGATACACTGTAATTAACAAAGGCAAGATGAGGAAAACTGTGTACAAGGTACTACCATTTATCTATCATTCTCATATGCTCCCTGAAGGGAAATGCACATATATGCATGTGTCTCTTACAGAAAAGAAAAGAAAAGAGAAGAAAAAGAAAATGACAAACTGAAAACTTTCTCAAAATGGTTATCTGTCAAGGGGGGGAAGGGAGAACAGTGTGGAGAGGAAAGGAATGAAAATTAGACTTCTTTTTTTGGGGGGCGGAATTAGGCTTCTTAAAAAAAGTTGTTTTCTCATTTTGACTTTGGAACCACATGCATGTTTTGCATAATTATAAAAGCTATTAAATCAAACTCTAAGAGAGAAATTCTTGAAAATTAAAAAAAAATGACAAAAATGAACCTCACTTTGTATGGAGGAACCCAGACAAGAGATGATGGTGGCGTGGTTCCCATGGTAGGGCTGGAGGCGGTTGGATTCTGGATATTTGGAAGGGAAAGGCAACAGGATTTGCTGATGGATTAGGTTTGGATGTCAAAGAGACAAAAGTCGAGGATCACAAAGGTTTCAGGCCTGAGGAACTGGAAAAGTGATAAGTGCAAGACTGTAGGGGGGGCTTGGTTTTGGACATAAGTTTGAGTTGCCCATCAGACATCCAACAGAGATGCGGAATAGGCAGTTGGATATATGAATCAGGAATTCAGGAAGAGATCTTCAAAAGATTCAAATTAGAATGCATAATATAGGAAAGCAAATAGTAGATGAGAAAAGAATCTCCTTTTGAAATCATGCTGGCTAATAAGTGAGAACAAAACTAGAATATCACCATTTTGCACTCCCCAGTCAATAAATGGCTCTAGGATATCGGCAAGGAATAGCACTGGCTGCTAGCCTGTCAAAAGGAGACAGAAGTCGACACATGTACCATCTGATGGAAAAAAGCACCTATAGTCTTGTGGAAGGGATCCAGCCTGTGGATCCTGCTGCGTGAAACATGGTGAACTGCATTCTGCAGTCAGCAAAACCAGAGAGTGGGAAACTACACTCTACAGGTTCTTCAATGATAAACTGTAAGGAAAGGAAAGGGATGGAGGGGGAAAATATAGATTAAAGAGATGTAAAAGACACTGAAAGAAAAAAACTGTGTGGGATTAGGCTCTTGTGTCTGAGGTTGCGTATTTAGGTGCTGAGGCAGTGAAGACCCAGGGTAAGTGACTGCTATAGGGGCTGGAATGGTGGGGAAGAGGGATGAAGCTGTGGATGGGACAGGACGCATGGCGGGGCGTTTCGGGGATGGCTGGCAGGATTCCGTATTTTTGGCTTAGGTGGTAGCTGCAGTTGGTGGGGAGGTTTCCTTGTAGAACTTCATAAAGCTATACTTTCACTTGATGTGGTTTTTGTATTTTGTTTTATTCTACAATATAAAGGTTAAAACAAACCTGCTCTTAAAAAGAAAAATGATGAGTCTAGAAGTAATAGATGCTCTTATTTCCTACCTGTTCTTTTACTAACAAAATGGTGTCAAGACTGGTGTAGGCCATACCATGTAGTGTCCCAAGTATAGCTTAGAGTGGTCCTATTAAAGATTTTTCAAGTGGAAGTTTCCTTTTTCATTAATGAAATATTTTGGGTATACTAAAGAAGTTTGGAGAATAAGAGAACAAGAATACTTTAGACCTACCTACCATCTGGGTAAAATGTTACAGATACAATTCACGTCCCATGGCTACCCTTTCCCAACTTCATTTTTTCTCCCTTCCCTTTGCAGAGGTAACCACTATCTTGAATTTGGTGTTAATTATTCTCATTTGATCTTACCTCTTACATATGGAAGTTCTCCTTTTTGAGGGTTCAACTGAGAGTATGTGCAACTAACCTTTTTTTCCTTCGTGTCATTACTATTGTTAAAAAACAAGCAGTCTTTTATGAGAACAGAGCTTACCTTCCCATCTGCATTATGGTCTTTGGCTCAGCTCTAAGAAGCACTAGTTTAAGCACTGTTGCCGCTGCTTCCTAAAAATAAATTACCAGCATTTACTTTGTGCAACACTGTAGTGTCTTTACTTAATCCTCTCCCTAGATTTACCAATGGTCTGAATGGTTTATTAAAGAGCAAGTGTTCACTAGGAGAACTAATGGGTAGTTAGTCAATGTGTGGTAAGAGGTAAGTTATGAAATAAGTCATTTGAATCTGAAGAAAAATATGAAAATTACACAAATATACATATACTTGTGTGTATACTTATATGTGTGCAAATACAGGTTGCACTAATCAGTCTTATTCTTAGAGTCACATCTTACATCTGGCTTTAAGGCTGGGAAGCACTATCTAATCAAACATCTTTTCAGTGACTTCTAGTCACTGAAACTATACCTAAAAATGTTGATGGATTAAAAGTACTCAGCCCTTGGGGCGCCTGGGTGGCTCACGGTTGAGTGTCCAACTCTTGATTTCGGCTCAGGTCATGATCTCAGGGTCACGAGATTGAGCCTTGTGCTGAGCGGTGCGGGTGGAGGTTCCATGCTAAGCGGGGAGTCTGCTTGAGATTTTCTCTCTCCCTTTGTCCCTCCCCTATGTGTGCTCTCTCTCTAAAATAAAAATAAATCTTAAAAAAAAGGCATTCAGCCCTTATTCTCTGAATATCCTAAGCTTTCTCTTTTTCTTTCTTTCTTACTTTCTTTTTCTTTCTTTCTGCATTCTTCATTTTGATTAAGATAACAATTTTTATTCAATATTATTCACTGATTTCTTTCTATGAAACAAATAATTGTCAAGGTCTCTTATTTCTGTTTCTTGTAAGGCTCATCCTCTGGGGGAAAATGTGCAAGGTGTTGACGATTATTCAGAATATCTTAAATATGGTTAATTGTATGGAGTCCTATTAATTTACTTTAGAAGTGTGAAAGGAACCTGCAAGTTACCTAGGAAGACTTGAATAGCCATATTCCTTTTTTTTTTTTTTTTTAAGATTTATTTATTTATTTGAGAGAGAGCAAGAGAGCGAGAGGGAGCGAGCACATGTGTTTGGGGGTGGGTGAAGGGGCAGGGGGAGAGAATCTCAAGCAGATGCCCCACTGAGCACAAGCCCCACGTGGGGCTTGATCTCACAACCCATGAGATTTGATCTCCCTCTCCCTCCTTCTTTGAGAGAGAGTGAGAGCGGAGAGAGAGAGAGAAAGCGCATGAGTGGGAAGGGGCAGAGGAAGAGGAGAAAGAATCTAAAGCACACTCTGCATTGAGTGTGGAGCCCGAGGCAGGGCTTGATCCCACAACCTCTAGACCTGAGCCGGAACCAAGTCAGACGCTTCCCAAAAGCCTACATACGCTGAAAATCTTCCCTGTTCTGAAAAATGAGACCCCTTCCTGCACCATGCTTCTTCAGCTTTCACCCCATCCCACTCCCTTTCTAAATTCTTAGAATGTCTAACTTCACTCTCCTGACTTCCTCATCTCCCATTCAGTTGGCCTCAAGCAATCTGGTTTCTGCCTCTACCACTTCTTCCAAACTGCTACCTGTAAGGTCACCAATCATCTTTTTTTTTTTTTTTTAAGATTTTAATTTATTTTATTTGAGAGAGAGAGAGTATGAGCAAGACAGAGAGCAGGACCAGGTGGGAGACGGAGAGGGAGAAGCAGACTCCCCACTGAGCAGGGAGCCCGATGTGGGGCTCGATGTGGGGCTCGATCCCAGGACCCCAAGATCATAACCTGAGGCGAGGGCGCCTGGGTGGCTCAGTCGTTAAGCGTCTGCCTTCGGCTCCGGTCATGATCCCAGGGTCCTGGGATCGAGTCCCACATCGGGCTCCCTGCTCGGCGGGAAGCCTGCTTCTCCCTCTCCCATTCCCCTTGCTTGTGTTCCTGCTCTCGCTGTCTCTCTCTCTCTCTGTCAAATAAATAAATAAATAAAATCTTAAAAAAAAAACCACAAAAAACCTGAGGTGAAGGCAGAGCCACCCAGGTACCCCCACCAATCATCTTCTAATTGTAGAGTCCAATGAGCACCTTTTAGATCTTGTTCAACTTCTTTGGGGCATAAAACATTCTTGTAACTTTCTTCTCTTGGCTTTCAGGACACCAGTGCTCTCATTTGGGGTCCCACTTCTCTAACCTGCTCCTAAACAGTGTTCTGCCTTTTGGTCCTCTTCTCTCCTCACTCTCATACTTTTCTTTTCTACCCTCTTCTACTAGCTTCAACTGTTAGCCATGACCCTCTGAGTGCTACCTATTGGACATTTTGTTGACTTAAATCTTTTGGGAATAAGGTGGAGGAAGAAAGACACAAATAGATTGGCCACTTCCAAGAGGCAGCAAAATTCAACCTGTCCCAGACTATACTCTCCTCCCTCGCATTCCCTCTGACTTCCTCCCTCACAATCCTGCTCCTCCATCTGTAGTTTCAATCTGGTTTAATGCCACCTGAGGAAAAAAACTGACAAATTATCATGTCGTACACCTTAAATTTATACACCGTCATATGTGAATTATGTCTTAATAATTCTGGGGAAACAAGATTGAAAAAAAATTGAGAATCATTCTGGGCATGACCCAGTTCCCTTAGTTTTACAGTCTCTTTAGGATCTGACCCCTCCTTTCCATCTGCACCCTCACTGCCCTTTGCTCACACCCTTCAATCTCCTACAGAATCTACAACAATGCCATCTTAACTGGTTCTCTCCCCTCCAATTCACCTTCCATATTATAACCAAACCAAGTTTTCCAAAGATGAATCAGATCCTGCTATTCCTCTATTTAATTGCTCTCCAGTGTCCCTACAATAAGAAAACAAACAGTATAGGACTCTTCATTAATTATTCTCTGTCCGCTTTCGCGACCTAATCTTTAGCCCTACATACTGTGACCCTGAGTTCTAGCCACACTGAGGTTCTTGGGGTTCCCCAAACACACCGTGCTGTTCCATCTGAGTGGAGTCCCCATTTCTCTTTCCTGTCTCAGGCTAAGACTAACTCTTACAAGGCTTCCAAGCCAACCACCCTAACATCACCTCTGCTGTGGTCAGCAAGCAGCCACCATCCTGAATGCTACAGGAGCAATCTCAACGTACCTCCACTGGAAGGCTTTTACAACTGTAGGACAAACTGTATATAGCCCTTGGTCATAAAGAGACAACGAGCTCATCAGGGGGCAAGTGCAGGTCCCGTCTTTTCTTCGTGGCTGCATCCCCTACACCTTTACCCCGGGATGATGCAACTAACCCATGTTCAATAAATGTGTGCTGAACTGAAAGTCGCTTCTCCTCAGGGGAGTTAAACTATTTAAGGCTCTCCTCCAAAGGGGTCGCGTGCACCACCAGCCCTAACCCCCAGGCGGCGCACGTGCGGCCCCGCGGTCGGGATTCACCCGCTCGCAGGCTCCGCGGCTCACAGAAGCTAGCCTCTCGCGGGGCGGGGCCTCTCGCCCCCGCGGCCTGCTCCCGACCGCCCGGCGGCGCCGCGTCCTGAGGGGCGGGCCCGGCAGGCGCCGCCGTTGAAGAGGCGGGGCCTGCCGAGGTGGGGTCAGGGCCCAGGGGTACCTGATAGGAGCCGCCGGTCAGGGCCAGCTCCGCTAGGACCGCTCGGCCATTAGCAATACAGCTGTAGGTGATCGTCATGGTGGGCGGGCCAGTGAGGGAAAGGCTTCGGCCGGACTTAACCGCCCGGGACGGCCTCGGGGCAACGGCTGGCGCCGGGCTCTGGGCGTTGCTTGCGCAGGCGCGAGCAGCGATTGATTGGCAGGGAGGGAGGCGGGGCCATCCCTGGCTTGGGCTGAGCCTATGATGAGACCGGGCGGGGTTTCGGGAAAAACTGGCTTTGGGTGAGTGAGACCTTTCTCCTTCCTGGTTATTCTTAAAATCCATCGCTAGTTGAATGCATGCATGAAATGTGGTATGATCAGCCTTAGAAAGGAAGAAACTTCTGACACATGCTAGACCATGGATGAACCTAGAAGACTTTATGCTAAGTGAATAAGCCAGTCATAAAAGAGCAAATATTATATGATTACACTTATATGAGGTACCTAGAGTAGTCAGATTTATAGAGACAAATTAGAATAGTGATTTGAGGGGTGAGGGGTAGAGGGGGAAGGGGGAGGGAGGAATGGGGAGTTAGTGTGAAATGGGTACAGGGTTTCAGTTGGGGAAGATGAAAAAGTTCTGGAAATGGATAGTGATAATTATTACACAACAATGAATATACTTAATACCACAGAATTGTACACTTAAACATGTACAGTTAAAATGGTAAATTTTATGTTATGACTATTTAACCACAGTCATAAAAATTAAAAATTTTTAACCCGTAAAAAAGTCATTTGGTGAGAGCCAGTGTACTTCACAGTACTACCTACCTACACTTCATTCATAGCCCGGAACATGAAAAGTATAGACCTTGATTTAAAATGAAATTCATCCATTAACTCAGCAAGTGTTTGTTGAACTCTCACAGTGCAGGGATGCTAGGATGCAGGCCCTGGGCCCTGGCTCTGAGGGGTTCTTTCTGGAAGTGGTTACAGAGGCATGTGCAGACAGACGCCAATGCCTAGTGGTATGTGTGGGCTGTGGTGGAAAGATAAACTAAGTTGCGGAAGCTGGACTGGAGGCTGCTAATTCTCCTTGGGAGAGGGAGCAAAGCTTTCAGTCCCCCCTGATGTAGGACGGGTTGGAATTCTCTAAGTGGGGAGGAAGGCTGGGACACTCTAAGCAGAGGGAACAGCTTCTGTAAAGGCTGGAGAGCAGGCAGGCAGGTGGGGGTTTAGGGAATGGATGTGAGTGAGTGTGGCAGAGGAAGGGTGTGTGGTAGAGTGGGTAGGAGATGAGAGGGGGAGGGGTGGTCGAATGACTTGTCATCCTGGATCTTGAGTTCCTCGACAAGAATTTTTAAAAATACGAGCTTCGATAAGTGTATATATTCTCATTAGTAGGGTGTCGTGGTAGAATGAAAAGAAGTCAAACTTGGATTAAATACAGGCATTGCCACGTACTCTGCGCCCTTACTATAACTTAACCTGAGACTCAGTTTCCTAATCTATAAGATGGGGATAGTCGCCAAATTTAAATTAAGTCGTCATGCAAAATACTTAGCATGCCGCAGATAAGCAGTTGCACCCTCAGTGTGATAAATACATTAATGAGAATTACTTTCTTGCTCCTGGTGGTATAACTCTAAAGGAAAAACAGTCGATGTCCTTCTGGGGTGATCGGCAGAGGTGAAGACGGGTAGTCAGTGGAGTTTATTTTAACCCAGTGCAATCAAATTGGATTTGACAAGCAAGTAGCAAAACTTGACTGTAGCTCCTGAGAAAAATGCTTTGTTGAATCATGTATCCTCCTGTATAAAGGAAATCTTCAGTGTGCCTTAGCAGCTTAGAGAGACTGTCGTGTGTTACAGGTGGAGTCACTGAATTAAGAGCACTGGTCACGGGCGCCTGGGTGGCTCAGTTGGTTGAGCGACTGCCTTCGGCTCAGGTCATGATCCTGGAGTCCCAGGATCGAGTCCCGCATCGGGCTCCCTGCTCGGCGGGGAGTCTGCTTCTCCCTCTGACCCTCTCACGCTCTCTCTGACTCATTCTCTCTCTCAAATAAATAAATAAAATATTAAAAATAAAAAAAGAGCACTGGTCACATTGTTTATATAATGTAGGAAAGTGAAATATGTTAATTCTGAGGTAATGGGTTGGAATATTCTTGCTCACGATAAAAATAAGCTGAATAAACTTGGCCACATGGCGGCACCCCTTGTGTTTAGTAACTAGTGGAGCCGAAAGAGACTGGGCAATGAAATCCTGAGCTGTAGGAATGACAACAAGCATCTGATAGTTGGAGGGGTGTATATGGGGCCTCCCCCATCTTGTTCTCACCTTGTCACGTTAAAACAATCCTGTAAAGCAGGCATGATGGGTTCATTCTGCACAGCCCACACATTTAGACCTACAGAAATGTAAAACTTAAGTAATACCACAACTCTCTCTTTGAGTCCCATTTTACCTGATATCTGAGGATTAATCTAGTCAATGCCAGGTTCCCTCAGTTAACTCAGGATTTACCCCTTCCCCTGTTTCTATATGGCGTAGGGGTGGTGTCTGTGTGTGTGGGGAGATCTGACTTGTGATGGTCATCTCTTTAAGGTGGCACCTGCTGCTAATGTTTGTTTTCTGTCTTTGGTCATCAGTTCATACACTCCCCTTGGAAACTCAAGGCCCCTTCGGGCACTCTCGTTCTCTCTCGGCCACTTTTGTAGCCCTCTTGAGGGGAGGAAAACTTTCCCCTGCCCCCTCATGCCATTCTGAGGCCGTGGGAGGCTCGAGAGGCTGTCTCAGGCCTCTGGCCAACACGGCACGCTGCCACCCCTCCTGTCGTGCTGTCACTTTGTTGTCATGTGGGGAGCAGCTCTTAGATCTTACCTACCTGGGCAGCAAGCCCTTGGATTCCCAATTAACTGAGAGTCTTCTCATCACCACATTCCATCACCCCTCACCTTCCAGCAGGGACTCTGGCTAATTGGCTTGCTTCCTTCAGACTCTGCCCTCCTGCAGCCTGTGGACACTCCAGCAAATCTAGGAGGGGAACCTCCTACCACCCCAAGCATTCTTCCCAATTTATGGCATTAATGTTGGCTTCTGCGGTCCCAGACCTTTTCTTTTCATATACTCTCTCTTCAGGGACTTGCTAAAACCTGTTTGGAAACTTTTAAGAGGAGAGAATCTTTTCCTTCTTTGCCTGCTCTTCCGCCTCGGTCCCTCCTCGCACTCTTTGTTGTCTATTTTTATGCAGAGAATAACAATGACAACTGCAGCAGGTAATATAAAACATCGCAGGCATTTTTAGCTCTTCCTTGATAGTTTGACAAAACCTTGAGGGCGGAGCACAATGAGCAGCGAGAAGCTTGATCCGTGGGTCGGAGAAATGGGACTACTGTCCATTTCTTTTAACACAAGTTTTTAGACTTCATGACTACTTTCACTGACTGGCGAATCTACTGTCATTGCTTTATACAGGTTAGCATCACAGACGGGAAAGTCACCAGGATTTGAATCATCCAATTTCTTAGGTCACTGCAGAGTTTGTAAATATTCCACAAGCTGGAGAGCATCAAGCACTCACTGATTCAGAATGCTCCTTCTTTAGTATTGAAGTTCTCCTCTGAAGGACTCCTCTTTTACTCACTGTTGTTCTTCAAAATGAGAATATTTATATATTTTTTTCTTATGGCATGTAATTGCTGTAGTAATTCAAACAATACAGCAGTAAAAGTCTCTTTATTTTTACCAACCCATAAAAAACCCACTAATCATCATCATCATCTAATTTATTTTTGACTGTTTTGATACATTTTTATATTTAACATTAACGGATACATGCATACTATTTTTTCGGAAATCTGTTGTTTTGTTTTTAAATTAAAATATTGCTTTCTTTGACTATCACATATATTTCAAATATTTCCTCTGAGGTTTATCATTTTCCTTTTCTTTCTGGTGGCTATTATTTTTTTTTAAAAAAATATTTATTTATTTGACAGAGAGAGAGAACACAAGCAGGCAGAGCGGCAGGCAGAGGGAGAGGGAGAAGCAGGGTCCCCGCTGAGCAGGGAGCCCGATGCAGGGTTCGATCCCAGGACCCCGGGATCATGACCTGAGCCGAAGGCAGACGCTTAACTGACTGAACCACCCAGGCGCCCCTTTTCTGGTGGCTATTCTTTTGCAGACATTTTTGTTTCTTACTTAGTGAACCATGTCCCTACTTTTTATTATGATATTGGAACTTAGTGGCAAGGTTTCCTTTCCTATTCCCATATGGAAATACTTCTTTAATGGTCACTTTGGTTTAAATCTTTAATCCAACTGGAAGTTGTTTTTTTGTCTCTTGTGAGGGAGAAGTATGTGTTTTTCCTAATGTACTGCCAGTTGTTTCAAGCCACGTACTTGAAGTGCCATTTTTGCTATAAACTAAATTCTTCCACAACGTTGTTAATTGGATTTTAGAGTTGATTAACACATCTGTTTCTGTGCTGATATCACAATGATTCAATAACTGTAGCTTGAATTGCTTTAAGTCGAACAAATGGGAAAGAGTTAATATATTTGCAGTATTGAGTCTTCTCATCCAGGAGCATGGGGTGACTTTCTAGTTATTCTTTATTATATCTTCCTATAAAAGCGCTGTAAGTTTCTTCATAAAGGTTTGCCAATTTTTTTAAATCTTTATTCTAGGGTATTTTGGCTGTTCTTGTTTATTTATTTATTTATTTATTTTTAAGGATTTTATTTATTAGAGAGAGAGAGAACACCCAGGGGGAGTGGGAGAGGGAGAAGCAGACTCCCTGCTGAGCAGGGAGCCTGATGCGGGGCTCGATCCCAGGACCCTGGGATCATGACCCGAGCCGAAGGCAGACACTTAACCGACTGACTGACCCAGGCATCCCTTGGCGGTTCTTGTTTATGGATTTTGTTCCCCATTTTGTCTTCAAATTGGCTGTTTCTGGCATATACCAGCCAGGCGCCCCTGTTTCTAGCATATAGAAAATCTGTTGGCTGTGATGTGGGGTTGTCAAGCGCAATGGCCAAGAAAGAATTCTTGAGATGTTGTCTGATGCAACTTAGTAAGTTTATTTAAGTAGCGTGGGGACAGGACAGGTGGGCAGAAAGGGCTGCACTTTTGCTGTATGAAGCTGGTGGTT